ACTGACATTTGTTTGGAGTTCCGACATTGGCGACTCGTCTATCATCATTATATTATACTAATAAACTAGTTGTTCTTTATTTCGTTCATTAAAATTTAATAAATAATCACTAAATATTCCGTGCGATTATAATTAATATAATTAATACATCTTGATTGCTTTGTATGAAATGCTAAATTAATTTTATTATTTGACGTCTATTGAGTCACCTATGGATTTACTTCTATCCCTAGGCTTTTTTGAGTTTTTTGTCTGCCGCTAATGAAAAAGACGTACTTCAACTATCTCTATACATGCATATAACGTTGTATATCATGGCCGCTTAAAAAAAAAAGCAATTTTTATTAATTAATAACTTAGTTGGGTTAACTCGAATTATTTTAAACCAAGAAATATGTGGCCTTGCGTTGTACAGGTCTTATCGGGACACCTTTATTTTATTTATGTTATTCATTTATTGTATTAGGATTTAAGAGTTATTTTTTCTTGCTTTTTTATTTTTGACGTAAGTATTTGTTGTTTTTAATTACACTGCAGGGAGTTGAAAATACCACAGCTAGACGCTCGGACACATAAACTTAATTTTTGGTCGAAGATTACAAACGTGCTTGGTCAATTGGCTGAACCCCGACATAGGTTTCAAATAAAAAAAATTCTTGCAAAATTTAAGGTTAATTGATCAAACGGAACACGTGTCCCTGAGGGTTTTTTTAGATAATTTAGGAAATTTGAAATGTTATTTTGCTGATTTTTTTTATTGATATATAATATAAAAAGCATAGGACCAGATAAGAATCCCTTATTTCTTAAGTTTAATTTTAAATTCATTTTTCCCTTAGTTTCTCAATTGTAACGTTTATTTAATTTCCTTAATTTTGTATTTTATAAATTAAATATTTAAAAAAAATACAAGTGTGTGTACGTGAAAGGTTACTGAAATGTTCTGTCCCCGGATCGGATTGCCAATAGGAAACACTTTTTTAGACCTGATACAGCTAAACCGAGCACGGATTTGGAATCTTTGACAAAAATTATGTTTGCGTGTCCGAGCGTTTAGCTGAAATATTTCAAAAGTTAAAAATGTACCTAGTGTTATTGATAGGCCCCCAAAGATCTTTAGTCCAGGGCCCCCAAAGTCAACGGTGCGCCCCTGGCCACGTATCATTAATACGGCTGATACCGCGGTAGCTACGCCACTGATTATACTCAATAAAAAAAATAGCAAAAAAACATTTAAATTTCCTAAATAATATATAAAATTTTCTAAATAATCTATAAAAACCCTCAGGGACACGTGTTCCTTTTGATCAATTAACTGCAAATTTTGCAAGAATTTGTTACAGGGTGTTCACAATAAACAAAGCATGGATTTGTAATCTACGACCAAAAATTATGTTTACGTGTCCGAGCGTTTAGCTGTGATATTTTTACCTTCCTACAGTGTAATCAATCAAAATCGAGTACTAAACCAGTTTCTTAGTTTTTTCCTTGCAACGTAAAACACAAATAACGTGCGCGATTTAACTGTGCAATTGAACAAAATTTGTCGAGTAAGACTTCTGTCTTCCTCTCTTTTGTAAAAAACTACCTATTTATTTAACAATGATGTACAGTTCGTATGCTTTAAATGTATTGTTGACAATTCTTAAATTTACGCAATGCTTTTGAAGTCCACCAAATGGCGCGCGCGTTGCGTAAACCCGATGTTTTAGCGTATATATCGTTTTTTTGTTTTTCCTGTATTTAAAATGCCGAAGCATTTAAATAGTCGGAGTCAAGAGTTGGTATCATCCTTAATACGCTATTTTTAGGCAGAACGGGATAATAATGGACCTTTGTTACCTTTAACAGCTGTTATAGAGGTAAATAGGATTATTATTAATTATATCGCCGACGGTGGACGAGTGGTTAGTGCTGCTGACTACAAGCCGGAGGTCGTGGGTTCGAATCCCACCAGGGGTATGGCTGTTTATTTGTGTTTGTCCTATTGTGTAATAGTCCTTCGGAGGGGACTTTAAGCCCGCGGTCCGTTCCTACCCCTAACCCGCACAAGCCATTCAGTTGGCTTATGGGACTTCTTAAGAAGTAAGGGTGGAACTAAAAGAGCACTTTTGTATATAAACTTGTATATATATATTAGAATATTTAACAAAATATATGTTGGATACATAAAATAAGAATATATATATACCAGAGACTTAGATGGCAAAATTTCTGAGTTTTACAGCTGAAAATGCCTTTAAAAATGGCTAAAAACAAATTTTTGGCTGTGCATCATATAGGTATAACCTATATGATGCTATATGATAAAACTCTGACTTGACATTTTGGTATTCCCAAATCTAGGGACCCTACGGTATTATTCATGTAAACGACATCTATCGCCCTGTAGTTGCACTACCACTTTCACTTGATGCAATGATTTTAGCATCACATTGACAACCGTGCCCGATCAGCTGATTGATGACGTGTATGTCGTTTCCTTTTGAATTTACTATGTTCCGTAATTTACTGTCAGTACTGTCAGTACTGAAAACGCATTCCGAAATCCACTTTCAGTTACTGAGCTCAGTGGAAAATACTACCCTAATAATTTCAAGTAAATTAGCCAAGATCCTTGGTTATTTTGTAAACTAGCCGCTAATTTAGTTGAAAATATGTTTTCAATTAAAATAGCTGACAGTTTGGCTAGTTTATAAACTATCCAGCTAGTTTATAAACTATCCAAACATATATATTGGATTTAATTTTCTTCTGTTTTGTTTGATAGAAAGTGTACAACCTCACTTTTTGGCGTGCATCTATCCCCACCACCAAGTAATCAAAATTTCTCATTTGTAAGTTTGCTCCGGAGGTAGTGCTTGATCGGTAAGGGGGGAGGTAAAATTCTCAATTTGGCTTACCTGTCATTTTGCAAATGAAACGGTATCTAAAGTGAGATAAACCAAGGTGAGGTAAGAATATCTAAGAATCGTGGCAAAAGGAAAGCACCTAATAGGCCTATGTTCCGTAATTTACTGTCAGTACTGTCAGTACTGAAAACGCATTCCGAAATCCACTTTCAGTTACTGAGCTCAGTGGAAAATACTACCCTTTTATAAATGTACGGCGGATTAATTTTACTGAAACAACTGGAGGTAGAGAGGTGCTGTGGCTCCAGTAAAACACATAACCAAACTTAAAAACAGAAAAAAGTAGCTGTCAAATAAAGTAATGGATAACCTGGTATTTGGTGAAGAGCTAGGACCAATTATTTCAATAATTATTGATGAAATATATGAAAGTACAAGCAGCAGTGACGAAGGAGACGAGTAAAGTAATTAAGTATATAATATATACATTGATTTGCTATATATTATATAGCAAATCAATGTGCTTCTTTGCAGAATTGGTAAGGTCACTTTTTATGGGGTCCTACGTCTCTTTGGAGATAACCTAAAAAAAAACAAGTGAGCCAGGTCCGGGACGTCGAACCATTTCGCCCGAAAAGCAATTTTTAATAGCCCTTTGGGTCTACGCTACGCCTGATTCGTATAGGTATGCAGTATTTTGTATTTTTGTAAACCGTAGAAATTACAGCGTGTATAATTTCTTGTAGATCTGTTTGCAGCCGTTTCGATGTTGGGAAAGCAACTGCTCTCCGAGCGGTTCGCAGAGTAACCGAAGCGCTTTTGAAATTGCGATTTGCGGTCATTAAATGGCCAAGTCCTGGAGAGGCCGACATTGGCCGAAGGGAATTTCAAAAATTTGGGTTTCCTAATGTAATAGGCGCGGTCGATGGTACCCACATTAAGATAGAAGCGCCAAAAGTAAATGCAAATGGATACATTAATGGAAAAAAGATCATTCAATAAAGCTACAGGTTAAATTACTTAATAGCATTTTAAATAATCGCCATGAATTAATTTTAGGTAGTATGTGACTTTTCAAGAAAATTTATACACTGCTACGCAGGTCATCCGGGTTCGGTGCATGACCAACGTGTATTTCGCATATCGGACTTATCAGATATATGTAACGATCATAACTGCTTTCCCTACGACAGCCACTTAATAGGAGATGCAGCGTATTCCATTCAACAACATCTATTAACACCTTACAAAGATAATGGTCGATTAACCCGACAGCAGCGAGATTTTAACCGTTGTTTGTCGTCTACTCGAATGGTAATAGAACGTAGCATTGGCCTTTTAAAAGAGCGATTCAGAAGTTTACTTTATGTTTTACCAATGAAAAGAACTGATCTTATTGCCGGTTACATTGTTGCATGCTGTGTATTGCACAACATCTGTTTAGACTTCAATGATTTAATAGAAGTTCCAATCATAATTAACCAAGACATCGCGGAGCCTGCTGAACACAAGTTGGTTCCATTGTTACGACAAATGGGGATCACGAAAAGAGAACACATTAAGGATACTTTAGCAATTGCGCGGAATGTTTAATTTGATGAAATAAAACGTGAAATAAAAAATAACTCTTTATTCTCATTGCACATTTATTTCTTAGTTATAACACAAAATAGCAGGAATATGTAAACCTAAATGTATTTTCCAACTTTTTAAACAAAATAAACTTTTAACAACTAAAACAACGAATGAACAAATTGCACTTGAAGTGTTTTTCTCCTGAACCAATAGGTACATTAAAAATAATGTACAATATTCCGACCGCATATACTTTTTTCCCCACGTGGATGCAAGCCGTTTAATTTTACTATTCAATGTATCCATTCGGGCCATTTTGGCCTCATGCTGCCGTTTCCTCTCTTTTAATTGTTCCTCGCGTAAAATCAAGAGACGTTCTAAAGCATCATCCTTTCGTGTCTGCTTCTTATTTTTTTTACCTGGAGAATGGGGTAATATTATTATTTTTTCAACGTGCTGTAATAATTATTGATAGAAAAGCGGAATACCCAAAGTAACTTTGATGCGTAGGTAGTTTAGGTAGTGTACATGTAAGGTTTTACCTACCAACTGTTATATAAAAACCTCTATGACTTAAGGAAATCCGCCTTTTTTATATTTTATACCTGTTGCCTCATCATCTAATTCTGATGCGGTCTTAGTTGCTGATGATACAGTAGACAAAGGCCTTGCCCAAGGCTGGGTGCCGAAAATGTCTTCCATATCGTCGTAGTACATCCAACTTTTCAAATCATTGCCTGACTTTGCATTATAATCTTTTATATCCTTATACCTTCTTTTAAGAGTATCGACTTTTGTCGCAATTTGTTTGCTGCTGAAATGGTAGTTGTTTTCCTGCATTAAGGACTCGAGTTTCGGCCAAACATTTTTAGTTGCAAGTTGTCCAGACTGTATCTTTGGATATAAATGTTTATATATAAGAATAAGCTGCTTTGTAGCTGCTTCAGTCCACACCCCTGAACGTTCAGTTTTGTAACGGGGAGCTACAGAGAAAGAGCCTATAAAATAACATGCATTAACCGACCAAAAATGTATGATAAACATACATTCTCCCAGCTCTCCATTTTCGTCATGTTCATAATATTCTTCCTCGCGCAGTTGAGTTTCTTCCGTTCCACTACACTTTTCTTGCACAATAATTTCCTCATATGTTAACCGCGGCTTCTTTTGTGAGGATTCCTGACGTGCTGCACAGTCCTGGGTTTTAAATGTATCCAACACTTGATAAGCATATTCCATATCTCCAAAAAAGCAATTATTGGGAAAAGCATCAATACAACACTACGGATTTTATTCAACCCAACTCACCAGTTTCACATTTGGCGTATTCTTGTGGCGTCAGTAAAATTGTATATTTCCTATTGTCGTCTTCCGCGTCGAAAAATGTATATAAACTTTAATTTTCCATATTAATCTATGATCTTAATTAATCTATAATATTAATTAATCTGATATTAACAATTGTCAAATGTCAGTTGCTACTGAGGCGCGTTCCAATTTTATATTGCGTCAGTACTGAATAAATTACGGAACGGTCCTTTTCCGCTACTGACAGTAAATCTACTGACAGTAATGGCAGTAAATTACGGAAAAGATTTCGTCGCCGGGTTATCACATCATTTTAAGGGTAGGTTCAACTGACATGATGGCATTTTAGATTGATCTTTAACGGACTTTTATAATAATTTAACTTAAAAGTAGTATTAATATAGTCTTTCTAAAATATAGACTTATGAGTGTTGTAATATGAAAAGTTTTCTACGCTTGAAAAATGTTTCTTCTGCTTAATGTCCATAATTAATTGAGGCTCAACCAAAGGTATTATCATTTATTAAGATGTACTCCTTACTCAACGGTATTATCTTTTGGCTCAACCGTTGATTGGGTTTGATCGATTTTGACTTTTATTTATTTATTTATATTAGAAAACATCTATGTTGCTTTTACTATGCCTATTGTTTCTTAATTTCAAAACTCCACCTTATGAATTTTCTGGCTACGCTACTGGATTGAACCCAACGAATAAACTTTTTTTACCCGAAATTGCATGAAAATTACGTGGGTATAAATGAAAATAAAATTTAAAATTAAACTTTATATATATTGTATAATAAGTAAGTGCGGAGGTGCATTCCAAAACTCGGCTTATCCATATTAGGTGATTTTGAGCAAAATGTCAAAAACCTTGCATATCAGGCCTACAGAATACTTTAAACGAAATAAATAGACAAAATTATAAAATTTATAAATTTAAAAAGCCGTTCTAGGCTAGGTGGCGACTGGAGGGCGCCACTACACTGGGATGGCATCCCTGCTTAAAATACCCCATAGAGACCCATACAAATAATCGGGCGCTAACGGACTTATTATGTGCATTTTTCCATGTTTTTTTTTCGGATACGGCCCGATAGAAAATGTATAGGAAATTACCTATAGGCACACCATAACTTTTAGATTTTCCCTAATGAGACCGATAGCAAATAACTCAAAGAAGGATATATAGGGATATTCCTATAGAGCAACATAAAACATTTGACAACATTTTGTTAAAACCTATGGGGTCCTATGGGAGGAAAATAATTTCTACCTTTATGTGTATTTTCCTTATTGAGACCGATAGCAAATAAATCAAGAAAGGATATCCCTATAGAACAACCATAAAACCCAACTATGGTTCCTATACATACCGATACACCCTATAGAAACACCATACAATCCAATACAAAAATCTATCGGTTTGAACAGGGTCTCTATGTGACATTTTAACCAGGGATATATATACCTGGTAAGTATATGTGGGATGGTTAATGTGGGAGCTGCCGTCCATACGGAGAAGAAAAAGAGGAGAACGTTTCGGTGACTTTTAAAACGTTTAAAGTTTGAAATAAATCCAAAACAGTTTACCGGTCTTATTATTCAAAATACCTGACAACAAATTCAGAAGTAAAATCTGGATTAAGAGTGCAGTGCCTGGAGATAAGGTAAATTCTCATATAACTTGTTTCGATGCTGTATCCACTTATTTTTGTGAAAACTAATTCTCGCTCAAGGTTTTTTTTTAGTGTAATGAGCATGTAGCATTTTAAGGTAATGGGAACTTAAATTATGACAAACCCTAATCTATTAATTTTTTCCTAAAATGCAGGCTTTAAGTTGCAAATGTCACGTAAGTTACCGGTCACCAACTGCAATATCCAAACATTAATGAATATTTTAACAAAATGGCTGTTGAAACAACTAATGTTAGTGCTTGATTAACTAAAAATAGACTTAAGATTGACGAAAAATTATTTTATCCAAAATCGGCAGTAAAGTAGAACTTTTCTGCCGATTTATTTTAATTTACGATTGTTGACTACTTTATTTTATTTCGGATAAAATAATTTTTTCAAGCACTAACATTAGTTGTTTGAACGGCCATTTTGTTGAAATATTCATCGATGTTAGGATATTGCAGTTGGTGACCGGTAACTTACGTGACATTTGCAAATAAAGCCTGCATTTTAGGAAAAAATTAATAGATTAGGGTGTCATAATTTAAGTTCCCATTACCTTGAAATGCTACATGCTTATTACACTAAAAAAAACCTTGAGCGAGAATTAGTTTTCACAAAAATAAGTGGATACAGCATCGAAACAAGTTATATGAGAATTGACCATAAGTGAATTGGAGAAAATAAGTGGTGATTAACTGTTGGTGTAAAAAGCCGATTTGTGGTTAGGTGTGCCACGTGCTGAAATTCAGTTTTTAGTTAGAGTGGAGTCGAAACAAAGGTGAGGAGCATTCTTTGTATCAGTAATAAGAAAATTTTGGAGTTTTTACAAAATGAGCTACCACCTGTCGATCAGTTTGGAGGATGAGGAGGGTATGCTGAGTCAGTCAGAACAGGGTTCACGTAGGGAGACTGCTTCCGATCAAAATGAACCAGTTGTTGATAATATGGCTTTGATGCGTGGCTTGTTCAAGGAGTTGCTCGAGCAGCAAAGTCGGATGTTGCTTGATCAGCAGCGTCGAACAATTAGACAGGAGTAACGCCTAGCTGTGGAAGAGTACACGGAGGAAATCGCTAGTACGCCATCTAGCCAAAGGTATGACAAGCCTCAAGCAACTATCGAGGTGGGGTTATAAGCTTGGGACAGGAGCTGGTGATGCCGTTTAACCCTAAAAACAAGAGCAGGAATGTGGAGTGGTGGCTCGAGAGAGTTCAGAAGTTAGCTGAAGCTAATGCGTGGACTGACAAGGAGCAGTTGCTAATCGCGCAGGCTAAATTGGAGGGGGCTGCTCGTGAATGGTATAATGGTGTCCGAGCTCCGAAAACGTGGGAGAAATTTTCAGGAGCGTTGACAGCGGCATTTCCAAGGAGAGCTGATTTTGCGGACATCCTTAAGCAAATAGTGCTTAGAGTCAAGCAAGATTGAGAGAGTTTGACTAACTATTATCATCGGAAGTTGGAGATAATGCGTAAAGTGGACCTGCTTCAGGGGACGCGTGCAGTTTCGCAGCTTATTCAGGGCTTGCCAGAGGATCTCAAAAGTGGAGCTTTGGCGTCCAACTGCAAGACCCCTGAAGCCTTGTATACGAGGTTTTTGACTTCGGTGCAAGCAGGACAAGAATCCCACAAAAAACAAACATTGGAGAAGAGAATTGTAGCCTCTACCAGCGGCGTGTCGCGGATTCGTTGCTATAATTTTCAGAAGATAGGGAACCATCTAGGCAAGGATTGTCCTCGCCCAGATGTATTCGGTGTGGCAAGGTGGGGCACCGAGCACGTGACTGCCCTGTTGGACCATTTCCGGGCCGACAAGGAGGATCGTCTGGAGGAAGTCACAGAACAAAACACTGGGGTAAGTCTTTGATTAATCCTATAAATTCTGTTTTTAGGGTGCTTGGTTATGTTGGGAAAGTTAGTGCTCGATGCTACATTGACACAGGAGCAGAGGAGCGAGGAGCTAGGCAGGTGTTTGGTTATACTTATGATAAGTGACATTAAAATCAACATCTGGCCGATACTGACGGATGCTGTGATGGGGCGCATTGAGATATTGCTCGGGACTGAGGCTATCACTCAGCCTGGCCTGACATTGGTGGTCAGACAGGGCAAGGCCATGTTGTTGGAGGAGGAGAGTCCCAACAAATGGATGAGCACCTTTGGTATGCCTGAAGTAGAGGAGGACAAATATGTGATTCGGCTAGCAGAAAAGCTATGTTGCGAATCATTTGCGTCTGAGATGGTCAAGGTCGACGTGAGTGCTAACCAAGGTGGCGATTTTGTTATGGTGGACAAAGTTGTAACCACTGAACACGGCTACCTCATGATACATGGCCAACTTGAAGCTGGGAATGGAGAACCAGTTGCTGAAGGTGACCAATCGCACAAAAATGGAGATTCATTGGAGAAAGGAGCGTGTCTTGTTTCGATTGGAGTTAGGAGGCGAGAAGGAGGCCAAGACTGAAGAGAAAAAGAAGGCAACCAAAACTACACAGGTGAATATTATTAGTTTAAGTGATAAAATTGGGCAAGTAAAAATGGGGGATGTGTCTGATTTATGTAAGAATGAACTAATGACATTATTGAAAAAAAGGGAGGCATGTTTTTCTAAAAATGATGTTGATGCCTACACAACAATAGGTAAAATGGAGATTAAAATAACAACCGATGTACCGATATTCCACAGACCCTATCGATTGTCACACTCAGAGCGGAGTTTGGTGAGGGAAAAATACAAACAAGGAGGCTGGTGTTATCCGAAATTCAGAGTCCAATTACGCTAGTCCAGTGGTGTTAATACCAAAGAAGACAGGAGATGTGCGCATGTGCGTAGATTATCGTGCTCTTAATGCAATAACGGTTAAGGACAGGTACCCATTGCCATTGATTGAAGACCAATTGGAGAAATTGAGTGGCAAAAGGTATTTTACGACCCTGGATATGGCTCAAGGCTACCATCAGATGGCAATGCATGATAATTCGGTGGTAAAAATAGCATTTATAACACCTGATGGTCACTACGAGTATTTGAGGGTTCCATTTGGTCTGGCCAACTCCCCAGCTGTATTTCAACGAATGGTGGACCGAATGTTGGGTGAATTGAGACACAAGGAAGTGCTAGCATACATGGATGATATCTTAATACCTTCACATGGAGAATATTGCAATTATGAAAATATCGTTCGGCTGTGTTTTGATGTGCTCCGATAAAATGTTAGTTTTACAAGGTTTAAATAAAGCATTAAATAT